GGAAGGTCTGTCAGCCATCAGCCTCCTGTCGGACTTGCTAAACATTTTTCAGCGCAGTCAGGCTTGCACTGTCATAGCTTCAGAGAAATTACAACACAGAAGCAGCACATTGAGCTGTGCCGTGCTCACTCCTCCACTAATGCTATTCAAATGCTTTATCCCCATGGAGTCTGTACTTTTGCTGGTGGCTCGTCCTCTGAAGCTATTTACCCCAAACCCACACTCAGCACATGACTAGGGTGAGAAAGGAAATAAGGACCATTCTGTGTGTGGGGTGGGGGTGGGGGGGTGTCTTTAATATTCTGATCACTGGTTATCTTTTTTGCTATGTGGTTATGATCAGATTTCCTATTTAAACACTGGGTGAAAATGCAAGGTTTGGTAGCAGGCCCGTTGTGATAATTTTTAAATCAGTCTCACATCACACATTCTCAAGTGCCACCATTTTCATTCCAACCTCGCTGCCCCGTGCGCCCCATTCCTCGCGTAGTGCAATATTTGGCCCAAGCTCAACTGCGATTGAATGGCAAGATAGCAGAACAGAAAGAAAGTCTTCAGTTCAGGAGCCTGTGGCACCCACTAGTTATTCAGATCACATCTGCCAATTTCCCTTTCCATTTTCTTGTGAAGTGCAGAATAAAATCCAACCCAACATTTTCCTTTTGCAGATCATTGCAGCTTTGCCACTACCCACCCACCCCACTGCCCACCCTCCCTCCCTTCCCCACATCTTTTGTGGAGTCAAACATTAAATTCCGCTCTGTGTTTCAATGGAATGTTTCCTTCCGTCTCCTCACCTGTGTTTCCATGGAGATGCTGAGTGCCAGCCCCATTTTCAGCCTCAATTACTGCACCTTTTGCAAGTGTTTTGTTTGTTCTCTGCTTGAAGACTGATTTATTGCCACTGAATAACTCCCTAGATATTGAATTATTGATATTTAAAAATGTTGGAACTGAAAGTTCAGACTTGCATGTTCAATGGGGGAATGGGAGGAGTGGGGGGATTCTCTGATTGAGTCTAATAACACCGTGTTATAGATTTTTCTATTAAGTAAAACAACTATTATTGATTCTATGATAAATGGCTAAATATTTATTTCTGGTCAATGGGAGATGGCTATCTGTGGACTGCGCAGTTGAAAAAGCAACTTATTCACAAGGATTCCAGTCTGAGGTGACGAAATATCCTCATGAAGTATCGCCTGCTGGAACTCACTGAATCAGTCATCGTTAACATAAATGAGAGCGTCGGGGAAAATCAAACTGGAATTACAGAGATCGGCTCCTGAAAAGCTGAGCATTGCTGAAAATGCTTCACCAGATCCAGCAGTGATGGATTGCTCTGTTTCTCTATGCTATCGCTCCAATCCTCTCCCCTCCTCTCCTAAAGGTACTGATGTGGTGGAGCAATGTCCTAAGTACCTCAACCAAAAGTCCTTTCTTTACTCAAGGCTGATTCTCCAGATAAGATCTTAAACTGGTCTCACCTTCGTGTCCTCAGGTGGATAATAATATTGTGAAAGAGAAGGGAGTTCCTCCCAGTGTCCTAGCCAGGACCCCTGTGATTCTTGTTTATCTATATTAACTGTTTTTTGTAGATAAACGCACAGCAATTTTATGCACAGTAAGGTCCCACAAACAGCCACGAAGAGACTAATCAATTGCCAAGTGCTTTGAAATTTTTCATTTCAAATGGAACGGAACATTTAACTTTAGGAACAACCTCTTTATCCTATGTGAAGGGCACACTATAAATGCATAGATATGTGTGTTTCGCAAACCTGTGGAAGGGGAAGGGGTAGGTACCAGCTTATTACATGATTTTTTTTAGTAAACATAGCCATAACCATTGCTTTGGTAACAAGTTTGGAGGTTTTCAGGAATGGGAGCCTCAATTATAAGTTATGAAGTAAAACTGTCTTAAGAGTAAAAGAACTGTAGTGTGAAAAAAACCCCAAAGCTCTTCAGAATTTTCCAGGAAATGAAGAAGAAAGGAGTGTGTATGGTGTGAAAGCCTGGCACTCCGAGCGAGTGAATTAACTGGACAGTGAGCAGAGCCTGGTCAACTGATCAACCTGCTGACCTGACCGACCTTCTGGCAGCTCCAATCACAGTCTGGTCCACACTCTTCATTCATCCTGTCAGCTCCCATCACCTCACTCAGCCCTCAGCCAACTCAAGATGAAGAATAAACGAACAGAAGATTTCTTTACAAAAGGCGGAGCTTGTCTAGCTCAAGGAGTGCTTTAATTGAGAGATAGATCTCTTCGCACCCCGCTGTGTACCTGCACTCGTGTGTTTTCTAACCAAAAACACAGCTAAGTGAAACTGCACATTTTTTAATAGAGCCCATGTCTCAAAACGTTTTATAGAAATTACCAAGTCAAGTGCAGGGACTTGTTTTTTCAGGGAACACTTGTCAGCTAATTTGTGCACAGCAAAATCCCACATCTAGCCATCAGGTGAATAACAAATGAATATAATCCGAAGGATTTTTGATCGACATTGGGAGAAACTCTCTTCTCTTTTCCAGTAATGTCTAGAGATGTTTGATGCCCATTTTGATCAGTCAGACTGTAGATCAGTTTAACATCTTCTCCAGCTCTTCCCCAATAATGCGAGTTCAATTCCCAATTGAGGGAAAGGGGGGGGGGGGAGGGAGGTTGGTGGGGTGGAAAGGCTTGAACCCACAACCTCTACCCGAGAGGCAGGAATGTTGTTGACTTAGCCATGCTGACCCATTACATTGAAACATTATGGTCACCCAAGTATTGGGAACAAAGCTGTTTGGTCAAGTTGGCGATGAATGCTTTTTCATCTCTGTTCCAACACCTGCCAGTCAGATTTGGAACCCATGCAGAAAGCTGACAAATGAAGGCAGCAGTGTGCCATGCAGGACTATCACAGCCGCATAGTGCTCAGAGCTCTCTGCTTGAACCAGCTTTCAGAACTTAATAAAGCAGCCACAGCTGCAACATTGCTCATTCAACACATACTGAGCTCAACAACTTTAAGAAAATACAGACCCTTAAGTGTTCTTCCTCTTGCTTGCATCATTCACTTAATGATGAAGTCACACAGCGTAAACTCTTCCTCATCTACTTAAAACAATTCAATAGCGGCTTTTCCTGCGACTCAGTTGGTATAAGCCATTGATTACGGTACTGCCGATCTTTAGTCTCACTGTGTTAGCCAAGGCAGCGGTTAGATGATGAAATAACCTGCTGACACTCACTTTTAAGGCTCACGTGGTTTGAACCCTGAGTCTAGGTTGACAGTCCAGGGTCAGTGGAGGAGCACTGCATTGTCAGAGATGCTGTCCTTCAGATGTGACATTTAAACCAAGATCTCATTGCAGTTTTAGATGGGCATCAAAGACTTCTTGATGATACTGGAAAAGAGAATTTCTACTGGTGTCCGAGCCAACAATCTTTTACTTAAGTTGGTCATTCACTTCAAGGCTGTTAGTGCGGTCTAGCTATGCACAAAACGACTGTTGCGTTTGTCCATAAATACAAAGTCACTATACTTAACTGCAATTTTCTGTGTAGCACTTTGTGCCTTTGGTGTTATAGGCGCTATATCGAATGGTAACATGCCTGAGATACTAAGAGACGTGCAGACAGGAACTGATCACGAGTACTTCAGTGAGTCTTTGGTGGGGGGGTGGGGGGTGGGGGTGTGGATGATAGAACAGGAACGGTGGGGGAGTGAAGAAAACTCCAAACCAAACTTCCTTCACGTCTGTAGCAGCACAGTAATAAACCTCGCACAGATCCCTACAGACCATGATAAATAGCATGCACGCAGATGGATCAAAGCAAGATTCAATCAATTTGGAACTCCATCTGCCTGAGGTACATCATCAATCTGCAAGCTGAAGCTCGACCTGCTCGTTCAGCTCCACATGTGTTAATAAGACTGAGTCTCTGTCGAAAATAATGTGCGCTTATCAGAAATAGGACTCAGTAACCTCTCCAACATTTCACCTCTCGGTTTCTTGGCTCTCAAGGAACAACTTTGACGAATGCCAACTTGCACTGATATAGCGCCCCTCACGCAAGGTAGCATCTCGGAGCGCTTAAACACTCCGGTAGGAGCAGGGATCAAGCAGTGAGGCTCAAGCTCCTGGGCATCAAATGCAATTTTCATTCAACCATCAATAGCCTCAAGTTGTCCAAACACTGACCAAGGTTCCAGTTCAAAGTACTGAAGAAAGGGTTTGAAACGATGCATTGGGAGAGGCCAGAAAGTCACTCTCATCATAGAATATCATTCTGTGATCAACAATCCAAACAACTTCCCTGCCTCTCACCCCTCTCCCCCATGGCCTCGCTGTGTCAAATTCTGCGCACAGTTTCCTATTCTAACTCATTCTTTCTCCCCCCAGAGTTTCCATGCAGCGGAAGTCCTCCCCTCTTTCTTATAACCTTAAAAGATTGGTTTACACATCCCCCTCATCTATTCCTAAAGGAAACATTTCGTATGGGGTTTGGTTTTGTGGGCATCAACCACTCTGCAATATCTCACCTAACAGAGCACACTCATGTGCAAGAGAGCACCATAGCCAAGTGGGATCCTGTCTTCACTCAAGCACCATCCAGTATGGGGGGGTGGGGGGGCAGGGGAGGTTCACCAGGTGAGTTATCTTCACTCCTCCTTCTGGCCGATGGGAATCGAGGGCAAATGCAGTAATTTCACGGCTGCTCTGGCTGAGGTTTGTTGGCTCGGTACTGATCAGGGATCAAGCTTTCCCATTCTGTCCAGCTTAGCTCTAATGCTTGGCTGTGGCTTCATCCAAATGGGGAGACATCCAGAAGCTTTTAGTTCACCACATACCAGCAAGACATTGTGTAGTAGCAAGACAAGAAGAAGAATACGCAACCCCCCATATTATATATATATATATATAAAAACAGCATTTAATTCAACCAAATACCAGTTAGATCTAGAGTTGGCCATTGTGTCAGTGAACTGGTTCGTAACCAAATGAGTTTTACCTGCAAACGCTCGGGAGATACGGTCCTTCTTCCACTCCCAGGGCTGGTCGTATTCGTCCGGGGGCCTCTCGTCGTCTTCGGGGAGGCGGCTCTCGCGGGGCCGCTGGCCGGCCGGCTTCTCCGTGTCTGAGTCGGCTCCGTTCTCTTCCGGCTCGTATGGCGTGTCATAGAGGTGCAGGGGTTTGTTGGTCGGTGCGTCCTTTGAACCTCTTCTGCGGATTTCTGTGTAACAGATACAAGATAACAGTAAAATCAACTACTTGAATTTCTATGGTGGATAGCGTTTCAACATATTGCACGTTGCAACTTTTTTTATATTAAAAAGTCAAAAAACCTTATCCCTCAGGAACATCCCAACAACTCACACCCCAGAGTGATCCAACAAGAGCCTCTACACCTCAAAAAGAAAAAGGGCTTTTCTCCTTGTGGCAAACATTCCTCTCCAGGTTAATATGGCCATTCATCACATGGCTGTGTGTGGGACATTGCTGGCACAAAAAGACTACAGAATCTGCCTGTAAAGGCAAGTCACTACACTTGACAGGCACTATTTCTAAACACAGCATCTGCCCGAATCAAATCTCATTAATTACCCCGTAAACTTTACCCCTGTACCTGGACCAAGCGTCTCTGTACACGGCCTGTGAGATTTCTGAATCATACCAGCAGCTTTTCAACATCGTCTAACCATGAACTAACAACAACAACTTGTACTGATACAATCCCTCCACCCAGGATAGCATCTCAGAGTGCTTAATAGTGGTGGAGCCTGATTCCGAGCCGGGGGGAGGGGGAGTGGGGAGGTGGCCATAAGCACGGTCGAAGAGTAAAGTTTTCAGATGGGACTTGAAAGAGGAGGACGAGGGGGGCAAGGTGGAGGGATTGAGGGAGAGTGTTCCAGAGTTTTGGGGCTTAGTGGCTGAAAATGTGACCTGCGATCGTGGGGCGGAGGGTGCGAGGGACGAGCAGGAGCCCGGTGCCAGTCGAGTGGAGGGGCCAGGTGGTGGATCGGGGAGTGAGGAAGTCGGAAAGGTAGGGAGGTGCCAGGGAGTGAATGGTTTTGAATAAGAGTGTGAGGATCTTGAAGCTGATCAGTTCGGTGATGAACATTAACATGCCACATTTGCGCACGTGCACACACATATACACAATCAATTACCCCAAAATGACCTTTATGTCACAACACATTATTGATGACTGACTCCTTCAGCGCACTATTAGCAGCGAGCAACACATCTTCAGCAAGACTGTGTGGGGAGACATGGCCTGTGTGTGTTGAGGGGGGTGTTGCATGTTGCATCAATTGTTTCCGCTTAATAAAGTGATGCAGCTCCCTGTTTATACACTCCCCCATGACTGACTGAATCACCTTCACTCTCGTTCAATGCAATAAAGAACGTCAATGGTGGGGTGGGGGAGCGAGGCATGTGCATTGCCAAGAGCACACAAAGTGCATCTCCTGGGTTCAGGGCACAGCAGCATCTGCTGCATTTATAGGCAGCTAAACGCGCAGAAGGCATAAAATGCAACCATTATGTCTGCTCCCCCCCCCCACCTGAAAAAGGACAAGGAGCAGGAGAGCGCCTGAAGGCACAGACCGCTCGATACAATGTCAGCATGTTTGTTCCTCCGCAACTGGGGAGAAAATTAAACTGCTTCAAGTACAGGTGTAGCCTCGAGGTTCAAATATATTAATCTGTCAGCACGAACACAAGGATTAATTAGGTGCAACACCGCCGTGCCTTCGCAACCAGACAACACACTCAACTAACTGCAGCAGCTGAATGCTTGCACCGACCGGGATGTGAGCTGGGCTCCGAAATCTGCCTGAGTCAACTCTATTCAACGCACAATAAATCGCTCACACGAAGGTCAGCATTTCTGCAAGGATGGCCTAAAGTTTGCTACTCAAGTTTCCTATCATAGGAATAAAGGCAGAAACGAAAGGGTTTTTTTTGTTAGAGACCTCACTGAAGCATCTGAGTTGCAGGTCATTTGGCGTCTGGAGAAACTACAGAGGGTCAACCGTGTGTGATTGGAGGGGAGAGCACGTCGAGGGCTTACGGGACAGGGCTCATTGTTCCTTGTCAGTGGGGGTGAAGGGGGAGAAAAAAAAGAGAGGAAGGTTTGCTAGTGGGGGAGAGGGGGGAGGTCTTGGCGCATTTGTGTAACTCTAATAAAACGTCATGACTACCGTACATTGAAGAAACACTCAACATCTGACCATCCCCTTCACACACATGCCTCCTCCCCTTCTCCACACACACCCACCGTGCTGTGGAGGCACAGTGTAACAGTACTGAAGTAAAAGTGCACAGCTGTTCCAGTGGGGATGGAGACAGAGGAGGAGAGGTCCACATACAATTAAATTACAACATTCACCAGCTGCCGTTCCACTTCCCCTGACACATATCCAATTAGATTCCATGCAACCTTGTGACTCCATAGAATCATGCAAATATCAGGAAGATTTACAAAAGTGAGTGGCAAATTGACGGCCCAATTCCAGCACTTAGACTACAAGCTACGGCGAGGTGTTTTTTTTAAAAAAAGGTTAGGTTCGCTTTGTATTTTCTGTTCCTTTTCTTATTTCGCTCTTTGTCGTGTTTCACTGTAATGGCCCTCCCTTTCTGATTTTCCGCCCTGTCCCACAATCCACCCAAAAAACAAACTCACGTTAAGGCTGTTTGCAGGGCACTGCTGTGCCAAATTGCATGTCAAGTTCACCTACAAAATATAGTCACTATACAGTATATCCCTTGAAGCACTTTGAGACTTCCTTCCGACATGAAAGCTGTTATTTCAAATGCAAGGATTATTATTCTTTCATGTGAAAGGTGCTTTTTGAATTCAAGTTGTTGTTACTGACACCCCCTGCCTTTACATGCTATGGTTTGAACCAGGAGCTCACTTCTGCACAGATCCTGCAATAAGTGCTGCTCACCACTCGAGCAAACCTCATCCAAAAACTGAATTGCAAAAAAAAGTGATAAAAAATCAAATCTACAAGTTTCACAAAGACAGTGAATGACACTCAGGAATTCTTTAAGGTGGTTAGATTTTTGAAAACTCTGCATTTCCCGCTTTTCAGATCAATACTTGTCAAAGACCCCGATGCCAAGCGAGTGATTCTTTCACAGATGCATCCTATATGAATTATTAATTTCACGGCTTGCGAGAAACAAATATCTTTGAAGAGCAAATTCCCTCGGAACAAAGAGCTCCACATCGTAAGTATAAATAGAATCTAACGTCAATAACATACTGGAATAAAAGATGTACTTTTATTTGTCCTGCTGCTATACAGTGACAGCAAAAAGCTCTCTATGTCGGTCACCAATTCTCAGCTCTGCAGTGGCGTGCCTTTCAGCTGCTCCAACTACTTTTCATGTTTCAACGCTGCAAGTGTCACATTGAGAACAACCAACGTAGGCTGGAACCTCACTCTTATGCCTCCTTCCCACTCACACTGAATACAGAGCAAAGAGATAATAAAGCATATACAAGTCATCAGTCAGGCCACAGTTAAAGGACTGGGACTCGTTCTGGGTGCTTTAAGAAGGCTGTACTAAGGAGATTCAGTTGGGATACCAGTTTTTGGGGGTTGGGGAAAGGGTTAACTTGTGAAGGAACAAGAGAATCTAGAGCTGTTTTCATTAGTATATAGAAGGTTGGAAGGAGACCTAATAGGTGTTCAAAACTAATAGGGGGTTTCTAAGGTGAAAGAGAAGCTATTGTCACTGGTCGGTCAGTAGCTGGAGGGGGAGGTTAGGATTTCTTTTTCAAAAAAGGTCAAAAGGATAATGGAATACACTATCAAATTCTGTGGATGAAGCAAAATCCATAATAGCTTTTAAAAGGGAAAATTGGACAAATATCGGAGAAGGGAGAACTTACATTTAAAAGGTTGTGGCGAAAAGGCAGGGGGATAGGATTAAACCGAGAGCTCGTATGGAGAACTGGCATTGGCTTGATGACTGATGGATACAATTTACATTGTTTACACTGCTGTGGGACACTACCCTGCGTGAGAGGCGCTATATAAATGCAAGTTGCCGTCGTAATCGCATCCTAACACTCTGAGGTGTGATGAAGATTAATCAAAGTCAATTCCAATATTTCTGCATTTTCTGAACCACATCTTCCGAGAACCTCGGAACCTGAATCTCAAGCTTCTGTATTTTATTTTGAAACGGAATCAACTACATAATGCCTCTGATCACAAATCTGAAGTTTTTAACATAAACAGGACAATCTTAATCTGTAAGGATGCTCGGGAAAGCTTCATCTCCTCCAGTGAGATGAGGTCTGACGTTCAGCCACCTGGGTTAATCCCCGTTGGAACTCTGCTCCGGAATCTGATCACATTAGAGCAACGTTCCCAAGAGTTGGTGTCATGCATATCCGGCAGTTACAAAAGCAGTTCCCGGTATTTGTGCACCTCAGATTCGTTTTTAAGGAATCTCATTAATTGCCCACCCCCACACACACACACTCTTGATAGTAGCCGGAGGGATCTATATCAAATACACTAACAATAAGATGAGTAGCCATTTAATTTGAATTAGGGCTTCAGATGAGAAGGGATTTTTTCCCCCGCAGCATTGTGGAATGGACTCCCAACTTTTAGAAACACAGAAGTTAAACTAAAATCTGTGTGTATATCAGGTCAATACAGGATCTGTGCAGAGAAGCATGATTGAGTTGCTGAGACATTGGAAGTGTTAGGATAAGGAAAGCAACTGGTTAAGAGTACATCAATCTAACACGCGGGAACTCTGCTTCAACACAATCTACAGTCCAGCCCCCCTCCTACCTCTCCCTCACCCCCAAAAATGTGAGGTGATAGATATTTCAGAGTTTTGCTGGATCTGACAACTGAGGAGGCGGGGAACAAGATTACAGAAGCTTCACAGCAGAATGCATGCCAGATAACTAGAAAATTGAGATAGCAGCAATCAGCCTGCCAATCCTCATCACTTCGGTTTTTTAACACCAAATAGCTTTGACAGGTACTTTGCTGTGCCTCCAACGCAGAGTTATTGCACACAGGTTCGGTTTGCAAATACATGGTCTGAGATTCGGTGAATGCTCCCTTTGCACAGCCCATGGACTGGTCCAGCTATTCATAAAGCGGTCAGTCCAAGAATTATTATTGTAAGCATATTTATGGGAGCCTTATCACATTGATCGGTCCCAAAGCTCTTCACAGGTTTTTAAAA